CAGTGAGACCAGGGTGAACACACACTACGCGTCGTCCGGTGTCATCCTCACTGTCCGCTCCTTTGGAGCTCCGATGTTATCTACAACATCCGACGAAGAGCTACTAACCCCGCAGTCATCGTCCAGTTGATACCGTGCCACTCCACGCGCATCTGAAGGGCCGTGACCAAGATGCCTCGGACTCTGTCCGACTACGCTATCACTGGCATGCAGCGACTGCTTCGCAACGAGAGCAGTGCTCAGTGGTTTACGTGCCAATTCACGTGCATCACGGGGGCCTCGCCCTCGATGCCTCGGCCCTTGGCCGACCATTTCACGTATGGCATGCAGCGACTGCTTCGCAACGAGAGCAGTGATCAGTGATTTACGTACCGCTTCACGTGTATCACGGGGGCCTCGCCCTCGATGCCTCGGCCCTCGGCCGACCATGTCACGCATGTCATGCAGCAACTGCTTTGATACTTGAGCAGCGCTCACTGGGCAACGTGCCACTCCACGATCAGCCCGCGAGCCACGCTCGGGACTCCTGTCCAGTACACCGTGGGTGTCTAACAACTCGGACATTCCAATGTCCATCACGTTGACCGTCTCGGTCCAGTACCCTCATCAATAGTGCTTTTGTCTCCTAGCAGAGGTGGGTTCATGACTCCACCGGGTGATGCGCGCGTCGCCCAAGGTCGTTGACCTTCAACCAATACATGGCTCATGGTGTTCCAACCATGCCATTCCTAGGATGAGGTCATACCTTGCATCCAGTTCTAAGACTAGACAGCGTTCCACGCTATCAAATCAAAGAACTTGACTCCGTGGTCAACAGGGACTTCGGGACCGTGACACGTGCCCCCGTCGCCAGGCGAACAGTGACGATGTCACCCAACCGCGCTTTCAGCGCCTCAGCATACATCTGACTTTCTTCCATCGTAAAACGTTGAGCATAATTGCCCGACGCACCGGAATCGATGAGGATCTTCCATGTTTTCTCGAAGCCCTTTACGGTCGCCTCCACAACTAGCAAGCCCGGCTTGCATACACGTTCCGTGTTCAAGAGAACAGAGCTCTTCGGGGCTGGGGCCTGTTGATCTATGCCTCCCTGAGGCTCAACAGAACTCAGTTCTTCCTCAGTAGGTCGCTCCGCGCCTACTGGGTGGTGTCGTTTCCCCGCGACAAACCAGACTGGTAGGCATTGGTGCAATGGTTCGAAGAACCTTGACGTGCCTTGTGCAGGGGGCAACCGTTCCGAAGGTGACGGGTGTCTCCACAGACGAAACACCGTCATATATTTGTGTGCTTCTCGGCAGCTCGGAGCTCTGCTTCCTCGTCCTCAGCATAGCTAAGATCCATGGGCACAGACCCGCTCGGCGAGCTATTGGAGTGTGCATGTCAACCGAGTCGTGCCGACTTGAAATTGAACTCGGCATTCAATGCCACATTCACCGCTTTTCATATAAAGACGGATGCACACGAAAGACTTCCATTCTGGTCGCGCCAGTGCGGAGACCTTCCATAATGACGGTCATTGTGACCGTTTTTGGGAGAGGATCTGCTGCAATCCCGGCAATGAGAGCGCGGATCTCTTGGACAAAGTCCACCAATTCCCTGTTGCCCTACCGGGTGGCAAGGGAACGCGTTCGCGCGTGGTATGCCTGATTAGGCGGCGAAAACACTCGTGAGAGCTGCAATTCCAGCTCCGCCATGGAGGAAAAACGCCGCTTCGGCCGAAGTGCCGACATCAGTGCCCATTCTCGCGCTCGACCACCGAGCTTTGAGATGGCTAGCGCCACGCG